ATTTCATTTTTAAAGGAAGCGATCAAAGCCCAGAGTTGATTTTTTTAAGGCTGGTGGCAGGTTTCGGGTAAGCAACCGGGGCAGCCAGGTTCCACCCAAGGATGACGCACCTGCTTAGACAACCGTGCCTTCTAATCTTCTCTAATTACTTTCTTTTTTAAAAACACAGAAATATGCTCATGCTTTACTATAATCCTGTGTGATGAGACAATGCTTACCTTAATGCCTCTCATGTGAGCTGAGGTAAACCAGCTGATGGAAGGAGCCCAGAGGCCTGGGATCTTACCCCCGGCCCTGCCAGGAACTGCCTTGCCTCCCTGAGCTTCAACAAGACGGGGACTTTCTTTTTCTCATCAGCTTACTTCATTAAAAGGTGGGAAGCGTCCTGACTTCGGCAACATTAAAAAGTGAAACAGTGTTCGTGTGATTTTTAGATGCCACTGATGGTATGCAGCATCTCTAGCGAGCTATGTGAAGGTGTGAAAAACCGAGAATGGATGAAATGTGGTGGAAACACGTACTCACAGAAGGGCCGCCAAAAAGTGGTGGACAGACACTGGCTGCAAAGAGGAACTGGGGCTGGCCAGGGAGAAACGGCTTGTCTGGATGGTGACAAAGCCTCTTCCTACTCCTCCCTCTGTGATATCACGTTTCTCCGACCACCCAGGCCTTAGAGGGCCCTTCCTCTCGCTGGCCCTCAATCCAACTGGTCTCCAAGTCATGCAGCTTTTATCCTAGAAACATTCTCATACAATGTGCACTCTCCTATCTGGGCTCGTGGCTGCGGCTCCAGGTGGGGCCTTCCCATTGGCCTCCTGGTCCGCCCTCCACATTCCTAGTGTCTGTCCACGCCAATCCATTCTACACACTCTGACAATCTTGTGTTATGTTCTTGGAGCACAGCATTCACGACGCACTCCCAGTTCAAAAACTTCAGTGGTACTGTTGTCCAACATCTCAAGAAAGAGAGCAGGCTAGGGGTCAAGACCACTCAGGGCCGGAATGCTCTGTGACCCTGGGCAAGTATCTCAACTTCTCTGAGCCTCCACTTTCTCTCCTGTAAAGTCAAAGTACCAATAACTAGTACTTGAGATAAATCCACATAAAAGGGCTCAGTGCAGGGTTTGACATGCAGAAACAGTTTAATAAAAGTTAGTTTACCTTTACTATTAGCAACCTTCCACTTCTGCCCTGTAATCTTCAGGCAACTGGGCTACTTGCTTTTTGCCCAGTGACTCATCTGTTTGCTCTCCAAACTCCTTCCCAGATGCCCATCCTCTGATCTCTGTGCGTCCGTAGGATTCCCATATGATGTATAAGGCTAAATTCAAATGTTGATTCAGTTCTGTCTCATTTAATCCAATCATCTCTTTGATGGGGTCTGACATCCTCAGAGGGCCTTTACAGCCACACCCCCCGCCATGTCCACAGGGGCCCTCCCTGGAGGTGCAGTTAGAGGCCAGGTAGGTGAGATGAAACTTAAAGCCCCTTCCCCAGTTTGGGACAGGCCCCAGGTTATTAGATTCCTATTGTTCCAGTTATTACTTCAAGTAACCAACGCCTCAATCAATCTCCTCAAGGCCAAGGCCCCTCTTCGGAAAGTGGTGGGAAAGCGAGTTCCAGCAGGAGAGTATGGTAAAAGGGGCCGGGGCAGCGGTGGAGCCAGACTTTAGCTGACAGTCATCTTGCAAATGGACCAACATCTGAAGAGGACTTCAGAGAAACAGAGCAAAAGTTCTGCATATAGGACTTTTCAGGTCAGGTGGTCATTTAAGTCCATCTGAATTGGAATTTCTGTCTCTTGCACGGAAAGCATCCTAACCAACTCAGCCATGCTAGGCACTGATCCGTCCAACGTGGCCAGCTCTGCCACAAAGCGCTTGCAGACACAAAGACACAAGTCCCCCAGAAATAAGCTTCTGACCCCCTTTTAGTCCAAGATTCAGATTAAACAATTCAAGTGTAAGCTAACTTAGGAAGCTCTCTGTAGACAGAAACTGTCATTCAACTTTGTAAACAACCTCTCTCCCCAACACACACAGACACACACTGTACATGCTCAGTAACTGACAAGTCAATAAATTAATAAGAGTGAATCAAGTATGGGCTAAAAAGGAAAAGACTTTTTACACAGATTTGAAAAATGGCAAGTTGTTCATCTTCAATGATCTGAAGAATGGATCGTTAATCATGAGGTTAGATTCTTGAGTTACAGAGCTACATAAATTGCACAGAGCCCACTGACCATCCGAGCAGCACAAGGACAGACCAGGGAGCAGGCATGTTGCAGGACACAGAGCTATGTGAAACTGGACAAGTCACCTGGCATCTCTAGGCCTTAGTACTCAATTCTTTAAAAAAGAGGTAGGCGATAACACTTCCTACAGGGAGGCTGTAAGAATTATGCATGTAAAGCAACTACTATTAACAGAAAGGTGTTCACATCAGTAATACCTAAAACTGAATGCATGCGAAGACACGCCTATTTATGGATAACTAATGGAAAAATTATCCCTTCAATAACAGAAGACTTGGTAGGCACAAAAGAAGAATTAAAAATAATTACAAAATTTCTTAGGGGAGAGGAAGGATGTGACTGAATAAGGAAGAAGTAAATCCGGGGGCAGGTATTGCTTGGTGGTAGAGTGTATGCTTAGCATGGATGAGATCCTGGGTTCAGGCTCCAATACCTTCATTTAAAAAGAAAAAAAGAAAAGAGAGACAGTAAAGAAAGAAGTAAAACCACCACTCACACTCTCTCTACTATCTACTTAGGCATCAAAGTCACCCTAAAGGAAGGTAAACAGTTTTGCCTTGATTTGTATAATTCAAGTTGGAAATAAGACACCCAAGCATGGATACTCACCTCTACAAACAGGAGGACAATCAGTTAGGCTGAGAGGGTAAGAGGAGGCAGTGGAAAAAAGATTCTTGCAGACATTAAAAAATTAAGAACTATGACAACCTCCCCCAAAGAAAAAGGAAAAGGAAGCTCAGTTGGTCCCCAGGAGAGAGATAACTCACCTCATTTTCAAAAGTGGCTTCGTGGGGATACTGGAATTAGTGTCTGTGAAAACTCAGTTTTGAATATTTTTCCCAGTTATTTGAGATTCTCAAGCTTTGTCCTTGGTCACATCCCCTAAACCTCATTTACCCTTTCCCAAGAAGAAAAATAAGTGAAGAAGAAACATTTATCAAACCATTATTGTGCAAGCCCCATGCTGGGCAATTTCACCCTCTCTTGGAATCCCTAACAATTCTGCAACATGAAATCCCCATTTACAGACAAGGAAATTGAGTCACGGCAGTGAGGACAGTGTTTGAAGTTATGAGGTACTTTTTTTGAAAAAAATTCTGACCATCGAGTCTTAACACACTTTCTACTTTCACTTTTCAGAAAAGTTCCCTCCTATATTCTGTAAAATCTGTAACCACCAATAACATTCTTTCTTTTGTCCTCATTGAGAAAGAGAAATGCAAAAAAAAAAAAAAAAAGGAAAACCGTAAAATTCCTGGCAATGAGAAGCTATAACCTGGGTAAGAATCTAAAAGGGACGTGAGTGACATTTTTCTTTCGAGTGCGGAGCTTTCTCTTGGAGAATCCCAGAGGCTAAAAATAAGTGAGCCGCTTGCTCCCTAACCTCAGATGTAAGTTAGTGTTTGTCCACAGCCATCGAATGCAACACCAGCTATGTCTGTATTTGCAGATTCTGCACCGAATGCTGCTGGCTGACGTGTAAGCAAAACAAGTGCAAACCAACAGGTTACTACCGGGGGGTTAGGGGAACAAATTACAAAACCGAACAAGCAACATTAGCTCTTCCTTGCTACCTTATAAAGCACTTCCTGCAGCGGGTCCTGCTCTTAAAGAATTAAGGCTGCTCGCTTCCTACCATTCTCCCGCCGCATCCCTGGGTTCCGAACTCAGCTAATAAATCATTCCCTAGATCCTTCCATACGGGACCCCCTACCCCGACCCCAAAGCAGGCCAAATGCAGTCTCCAAATCTGCAAGCAAGAAGCCGAGAACTGAGCTTAAGCATAATCCTGAAAAGGACAAACCACCACCCTTAAGAGTGCAAGGGCACGGAATGGAACGGTTGCAAGTCAGTTTAAAAGAACAACTTTTGCTGCAGGCACGACTCCCTCCATCCCGAGGCCGGCGTGCGCACGCGAGGGTGGGGTGGGGAGGGCTGAGTCATATTGGCGTCTAACGGCAAAAGGGCACTTACTCTTGTCACTGGCAGCAAACGCGACGCCAGGGCTTCCCCGACCCCAAGCCACTCCCGCCCGCACCTCCGCCACCCCCAGACTCCCGTAAGGACCGCCCAGGTGGCTCTCGCGTCCCCGCCCCACCGCTTCCCCACCGGCCTCCTCCTCCCCGAGGACCGCTGGTTGCCGATGTCCTATTTTAATAAAAACAGAAGCGGTCCCGGGCTAGAGGGCTTCCCTCCGAGGGCAGGAAGGGCAGAGGCAGGAGGGAAAAAGGGAGAAAAGGAAAGACGAAGGGGCCGCGCACCGACCCCTGCCGCGACCCCGCGGCCCCGCAGAGGTTCTCCCGGCTCACCCGGGTTTTGTTCTCCCCCGAAGAAGCCAAATCGCTTTCGGGACGCGTTCCCGGACCTCCGGCCGCGAGTTTATCCCGCTCGGGCGGGCTGACCCGAGCGCGCAGCCCACCCACCCTGTCTTCCGTCGGCGCGCGGGGTGCGTTCCAGCCGCGCCCGTCAGCGTGCACACTGCCCGCCCGCGGCTTCCCCCGCCGAACAGGTGAGACAGCATCGCGCCGAAACTCCCGAGGCGCCAGCACGGCTCTCCCCGCGCCCGGGAGCGGGCCGGGCTCCTCCGCCACGCGGGCGCAGCGCGGGCCACGCCGGCAGCCGCTCGTCCGCACCGGGTCCGGGACCCAGCGGCGGGTCGCAGCCCTCGGTCCCGGCCGCGCGCCGGCGGGGGGGGCATGGCCGAGCGGCGGCCGGGCGAAGTTTCCCGGAGCTGCCCGCTTACCTCTTAGTCCGAGGGCGGCGGTGACGACTCGGAGAAGCGGCGAGGCGGCGGCGGCGGCGGCGGCGGCAGCGTCCAGGGCCAGCCGAGCCGGCAGGAGGCGGGAGGGAGGCACCGGCCAGCGGGAGCTGCCGCGAAGAGGAAAAGAGGCCGATATCTACAATCAGAACGTGGGCTGACCGTGACGTCACAATGGCGCGGCCAGCCAATCGCCGCCCGGAGGCCGAATCAAGCGCTATGATGTCATGTGCCCCGGGAGCCAATCGCGAGACAATAGAACTTTCGTGATTGTAAATTCCAGAATCCGATGCTGTGGGGGGCAGTGGCCCGGGTTGGTCCCCTCCGGTTCACGTGTCTCTGGGCAATTTTATCCTCTTTGGTCCTAATAAGCCTGCGTGGAACGCAGAGCCTGCGCAATAGCAACACTGAAGTTCCCGATGCCCTGAACTCTGATTCTGTCAATACCAGGCGTGTCAGGGTCGCGTGGCCGCGTTTGGACCGCAGAAGCCCACGCTGGTACCGTCACCTCGCGCGTTGTGGAAGGGAGCCTGTTCTCCTTGGCTTTAACTGAAAGGGTTTGATGCCTACGGAGACCACTGGAGCGAACAAGACAAGGCAATAACAAGAAAGCACTCAAAACGGATGCTTATAGCATTAACTCCCAGGTGATAAATTGACCGCGATTTTTCTTAGGGATTCTGATTTTTCCTTAGAGATCACTACCAGCTCAATTTCTACTCTAGAAATTATTCCATAGTCTTGTAAAAGGAGGAAAAGTGGTGGGGTAAGCGACGTGTTTCAGCTAGACAAATTTAAACACGTACGACAAAGTGCTTTGTGCTCAGGACACAAGTAGAAGATTCTTGCTGTTTTTCATTGACACTCGGTTAATTTAAGGCCTTCATCATCCTAGTTTCCTATGCTTCCCCCATATCAAGCCCCAGAAATTAAGCATTTCTCCCTGTGCCCTCTGGCTCTATTTTTGCTACTCCGTGTCCGTCAACCCAGCATAGTCAACCTTTTAATGTATGCACACTTATTCTTTTACATTTTTACGAAGTAATGTTTATCATGTGCCAGCTGCGTTCCCAGTACTGAGCCACTGCCCTCGAAATACAGGTGTACAAACCATATACAAATTAGATAATGTAAACATATTCAAATAGAATTTTAGCAGTTGAATGCCATTCAATTCCACAAACTGAATGACTTCAAAGCCAGAGCTGGTTCAGCTATGTCACCCTATCCAAGTTCTATCTTTCCAGCTCTTAAAAGTTTCCAATTTAACGTGATTTTCCAAAAATCTCAAGTTTTACACCACACACAATTGTTCTTATTGTGTTCACCTATCAATAAAATGTTTTAAGCCAATTTTTCCAAAACAGCTTCTTTATGGTCTTACAGAACTGTCAAGTCATACATTAAATATGAAACAGTCTTTTTCTATTTCAAGATTAAAGTAAAGTTCTATTATTTTATTCCTACCCACCCCACAACTGATGCCTTTTTATGTGCCCCTGACAGATGTCTAGGTTATCTGTGTATCTTGGTTCCCATTATAGAATTTTTCACTCTGTATTGTAGTTTCCAGACTGTACCATCTTGCTCAGTCCATGGGGCGGGTTTGTACCTCCAATTTAAACACCGCTGCTCTAGATTGTAGACTCCATTAGAGGGGGAAACATGTTGAATTTTGCTCATTATTTATCCACAGATCTTACCACAGTCCCTGGTGTAAAATAAGAGCTTAGGAAATACGTTCTGAATGTGGGCATGAACTCTCACTGCCAACCTCACCATCACCATCATCACACAGGTGCTTCCACTTTCTTCTCCAGAATTCCAGTCCTTGATCAGATAGTTACATCCCAGGACTATTGACTCATCTCAGCCCTAAGTTAGCCAGGTCATGTTCTCATTCTTTCACCATCCAGAGACTTAGGGTTCCCAATGCTTCAGAGGGGATTTCTGCCCACATGCAGCTCATCTTACACCCTCTAGTGTAAACTGACTGCCATGACCTCAGTATGAATGACTCCATATGGCAGCACCATTACATTCACGGTTAAAGGTGCAAGAAATGACTCCCCAACTTAACTATGGGTATTTTTTTTTAAATAAATCAAAAGAATGCCTAGGATTCAATGCCAGGGTTCAGAGTAAGTGTTTTGGTGAGCATCAGAATCAGATTCCTGGCCATCTGGGTCCTAGACCCTGGTCTGGAGCCATCCCGGTTCTTATAACCAGCCTATCAAAAGTGAACAGGTAGGGTGCAGCGACGAAGCCCTGTAACTCTTGCCTGTTTCCTTACGGCATCCCTGTGGTAGTCCCCCAAGAAGTGATCGTTGAATTATCTTCATAAAATAGTTAACTGTTTTATTCCTCCTCCCCTTCCTCCTCCTGCTTTTCTTTAGTTTTGAATTCTGGCAGCGTTTTCCTTCTGTGGTCCCAGATCCCCAACCACACACTTCCAAGTGTGTGAGAAGGTTGCTTCAATATTGAGAAATATTGGGAAATTTGTTCTAATGATTGAGTGTCTGAAGTTGAATTCAGAAATATGATTGAAGATTTCATTAGAATGCCATTCTAATTAACAAGAGTGTTGTTTCATTTAAAGAGGATATATTCTATGTGCTTAGAAGATGTTTGCATGGCATCATGAAACCTGTCTTTCAAGATAAAATCCATACCTCTGGACATTTGAATGTTGACGAAAACATAGGCCAAGTATAAGCTGGTTTATGCAAAGGATGCCTCTATTCAATCTCTGCCTTTTCTTTTTCTTCCCTGTGTTCTTGCTTTTTTTTTTCTTTTTTCCTAATTTGTATTTTCTGATACCGTGTTGCCAGGTTTCCCATTGGCTTGGCTTGTCTTTGCTAGAGACAGAGATTAAAAGGCAATGTCCTTCCGTCCTCAGACCTTGGGTTAGTTCTGTACTTCATTGTTACTTTGCTGTTACTCCTCTTCATTGCAGTTCCACACGTACCCAGATTTATCTCTGTCGCTGTCCTTGAGTGTTCGTCATGATGGATGTGAGCTACTGGAAGGCACAGCCCATGCCTGGTCTACCATGTTGTTTTCCCAGTGTCTAGCAGAACCTCCGGCAAATAGCAGATGCTTGTAAATATCTGCTGAATGAGTGAACAATTTGAACTATTTCTGGATTCTCTGGTCCTTCCTCCTCTACTTGCTTTTTATAATCTTTAGTATCCTGTCCGGGAGCCACTGTGCAATGAAAGGGGTCTATATTTACTTCCTAGGTGATATTATCACGCCCTTTTATGGCTTTGGATTCCATCTATACTCTGCTGACTCGCAAATGTATTTCTCCAGCCCAGACCTTTCCCCAGAATTCCAGACCTACATACCTGCCTGTTAATGTCTTCTCCTCTTGGGTGTCTAAAAGGCACCTCAAATTGAGAATAATTTTTCAAAAATGGACTCTTGATTTTCCCCTAGACCCACTCCTCCTGTGGTCTTCCCCAGCTTTGTAAATGACAACTCCATCCAGCTAATTTCTCAAGACAAACACCTGAAAGTTACATGTAGGTCCTCTCTTCCTTTCATGTCCCATTTCCATGCATTAGCCAAATCCTGCCTCCTCCATCTTCAGAACATATCCAGAATCTGTTTACTCTTCACCCATCTTTACCACAGCCAGCGGTTTAGGTCACTCTCAACTGTTGCCCAGAATTTTGCAATAGTCTCCTAACTTGACCTCTACTTCTGCATTTTTCTTCTAGTCTATTTCCACCCCAGCAGCCCGAGGGAGCCTCTTAAAAGCAAAACCAGATCATGTCACCTGTCTGCTTAAAACCATCTGTCAAACATTCATCTCAGTAAGAGTAAAAAAATCAAAACCCTTACAGTGGCATATAGGGTCTGTGCCATTTCTTGGACCTTCTCAAGCTACTCTGTCTTCCACCTACAATGGCCTCGTTCCTATTCCTTGAGCACACTGAGCACTAGAACTGCCTCAGGACCTTTGCACTTACTCTCCCCCTATGCCTAGAATAATCTAACCCAGAAATTTCCAAGTCTTACACCCTTGCTTCACTCTGATCTCTGCATATGTCATCCTATTAGAGAGTTCTCCTTGGTCACCCTCTAAATTTGCAGCACCTCCCTCCTTGCCTCCCACATCCTGGAACCCTTTTACTCTGCTCTGTTTTTCTCCTTAGCACTCATCACTGTCTGAAATACTATAGGTTTGCTCTTAATATTTGTTTATCCTCACTGCCCCCCATACACTCACTGAGGGCACAGACTTTGTTCTGTTCACTGCTACGTGGAACCCTGGCACTTGGAACACTGCCTGGCATCTGGTAAGAGCTCAGTCAATATTTATATAGTGGGTAAATTAACAAATGAGTGGAAAGTTGAAATGCAGATCAGTAAGATACACTTTTACTAGGTACCATTTGGCCAAAAATTAAGAGAAAAAAGATACTGATTGCAATAAGTTAGCAATTATCGGCAGGTGTTATTTTCCTGGTCCCCATTAATGATAATGAGTTTTTCCTGCCACCTTTCTGAAATTTTAGAATCTGAAACATTAACACATTCCAAAAGATTATTTAATATTTTTTAAGTGCTATAAGAGAAGAAAAACTATTGCTATGGTTATGATGAAAAAGACATACCATTGTCTAAAGTTGATATGAATTTGAGATGTCTTACTCATCTATAAATGCATCACTTACCTTGAATATCAAGCACTTTCTCTTGAAATAGAAATTGCTATGATATTTATTTCAATGATGAGTCAAATTTGGTACCAATTCTTTTTCTTTTTATTACTTTTCCATGTCTAAGGCCATTCCCACTACACTCTCCTTTCAGCACCAGAATGAGATGAGAACACTGAGCCACAGAAGAGTTCAGCGGCCTCCCAAGGCTGCAAAGCCAGTTAGTGTAGAATTACGATTGAATTCAGGTCTCACGTCTCAACCTCTTTTCATGTTGACCTATGTTAAAGATAAGATTTTTACATCATGACAGCTTCTCAATGTATCTTTCACTTTGCTGGTTATCGGAAGAGAAATTTCTTAGTTGATATATTTCATTCTGTAACATGTTAAGGAACTAAAGTTTTCTAGGAAATAGAGAAAAGCAGATGATGATCAAA